TGGCGAGACCTCATCTCTACAATAAATCAAAAAATTAGCCGGGCGGGGTAGCGTGCGCCTGTGGTTCCAGCTACTTGGAAGGCTGAGGCGGAAGGATCGTCGGAGCCCAGCAGGTCGAGGCTGCAGTGGCCGGGAGCGGCCACTGCACTCCAGTCTGGGTGACAGAGTGAGACTCCAACTCAAAAAAAAAAAAAAAAAGTGGGCTAAGCTGGGTGCAGTGGCTCACATCTGTAATCTTAAAACTTTGGGAGGCCTAGGCCAGAAGATTGCCTGAGCCCAGGAGTTCAAGACCATCCTGGGTAACTTGGCAAGACCTAGTCTATACAATAAATAAAAAATTAGCTGGGTGTGGTGCCACACAACTGTGTTTCCAGCTCCTTGGAAGGCTGAGGCGGAAGGATCACCTGAGCCCAGCAGGTCGAAGCTGTGGTGGCCGTGCGCACTCTAGTCTGGGCAATAGAATGAGACTCTGACCCCTCCCCCCCCAAAAAGTGGGCTAAACCAAAAGGAAGAGGCAGAGTAGGAGAAGGTCCTACCCCTAATAAGTGGGATTCTCCCGACTGCATGCAAGGGGACAGGCAATCCCTGTATGCACAAACTAGAAGAGCAGACAGCCCCCAAAACAGATGGGGAGAATTTTAGCCCCGATAGCCACACACATAAATTAGTTTAGGGTAAGGTAGGTTGGAAGACTTTAGCCAAATGATGTTACCTGTCCTAACGGGACTGTTCGACACATACAGTAAGGCAGCCAGTGCAGTGGAATAGACTCAAGTTCAGGTCTGTGGTGCAGGAGACCTGGGTTTTAGTTCTGATTCTGCCCTGTATGACCCAGGGCTCCTCCTTCCTTTTTCTGGGCCTCTCCAAGAAATGAAATGACCTTACACAGTCCTTCCCTTTTTAAAGGGCATTACCCTTCTGGCTGGGTCCCCCAACAGCAGATCTAGGGCTACAGTTTTGGGTCTTGGGGCCACATTTGTGGACGGCCAGAGACCACCTCTGCCTGAAGCATCGGCCACACTCAAGGCAGGGGAAAGGCTTCTCCCCAGTGTGCAGTAGCTGGTGCTGAGCCAGGTGGCTCCACTGGGCAAAGCGCTTGGAGCAAAGGTCGCAAGCATAGGGCCGCTCGCCTGAGTGCACACGCCGGTGACTGGCCAGCAGCGAGGGGTAGGCAAAGCGTCGGCCACAGTCGTCGCAGGCGTGCAGCTTCTCCTCGGTGTGCGTGCTGCGATGTATGGCCAGGGAGCCGCTCCTCCGGAAGGCACGTCCACAGTCTGGGCAGGGGTAGGGCTTCTCTCCCGTGTGCAAGAGCTGGTGCTGGAGCAGTGTACTCCGCTGGGAGAAGCGGGCCTCACAGTGCTCGCAGGCATAGGGACGCTCCCCGGAGTGTACACGCCGGTGACTGACCAGACGGGAGGATGAGGAGAAACGCCGCTCGCAGTCCGGACACGGGTAGGGCTTCTCGCCGGTGTGGATGCGTTGGTGGATAACCAAGGCAGTGCGCTGGCGGAAGCGGCGGTTGCACTCGAGGCAGGTATAGGGCTTCTCTCCCGTGTGCGTGCGCTGGTGGATGGCTAGCAGGGAGGGGTAGGCGAAGCGACGCCCGCAGCTGGGACACTGATGGGGTTTCTCGCCTGTGTGCGTGGTCCGGTGATTGGCCAAGGACCGGCTCCTTCGGAAGCAGCGGCCACAGTCAGGGCAGTGGTAGGGCTTCTCACCTGTATGGATAACCTGGTGCTGGGAGAGGTTCTTGCGCTGGGAGAAACGTTTGCCACACTGGTCACAAACATAGGGGCACTCGCCAGAGTGTGCCCGCCGGTGACTGACCAGCAGGGATGGGTAGGAAAAGCGACGCCCACAGTCTGGACAAGGGTAAGGCTTTTTCAGATTCTGGGCACACTTATGGCTCTCGAGGGCCGGGTGATCAGGGAAGGTACAGCCGCAGTCAGGGCAGATGGGGCCCCCAGAAGTCTGCCTGGGTATCAGTCGGGGTTTGCTGGGCCTGCGGCCACGCTTCCCTTTTCGGGGTGCCTCCTTAGGTGGGAATCCTTCCTTCTCCCCATTCTTCTTTCTGGTTTCTATAGGAACACAGTGAGAAATTAATTTAACAAATACTAGGCTCCTACTCTTGGCTATTATGAAGTTACATGTTACAAGATCAATAGACTCACCTCCTGTCCTCAACTGTTAGTGCCACAGACAACTAAGACTGAGAGACTATTATGGAAATATAGTATGTGTTACAGAAGCTCCTAAACCAGCTTGGTGACGTCTGGGAAGATTTCTTTGAGGAGATTAAGCTAACTTTAAAAACTCAAGGTTTTGAAGAGGTAAAAAGAGCTTACAGGGTTCATAAGTCAATTGCAATTTTTTTTTTTTTTTTTT